GGTTTTGGAAGCAATGTTAATAGTGAAAAGATCAATCCAATGGATGATTGGGTTGTGGACGAAACACTACAGGAGATTGTGCCAAAAAATGATGAATCTGAATGGATGGACTCAGCCTGCAGTGAATTCACTGCAAATGTTGAAAGACATTATGGAATTCAAGCAGGAACCCAATGAAGGTGTATGAACACAAAAAGATAAGTGAAGATAGCTCTTTTGTTTTTATTTTTTGTTTATTTATTATTAATTTTTTTGGCTCTTGCATGGATAGAACCAATACATCCTTTTTTTTTTTTTTTTTTTTTTTTTGTAATCAACCTTCTGTTTTCGAATTTTATCTAAATGTTATATAGAATGTTCAAAAAAACAAGTCCATACTTTCCACTACATATTGTAGAGAGAAAAAGAATGTCCACTTAAAATGGTATATGGTATTGCAAAAGGGTTCATGTTAACAAAATCTTATGCTGTTGTTCTACAGGCTAAAGTGGTTGGAATCTTCATTTATTGTATAATTAGACAAGTGAATGAAAACAATAAGCAGATGCGTGACATATAAGACCTTGCTTGTAATGCAAGGTGTCAATTTATTAGGTTCAGGTTTCTTAAAATAAAAACAAAAAAAAAAAACCCAAATGGGGTGCAAAAAACAAAGTGCTTTGTTCTAAGAGCAGAAATACCAATTTACCCTCTTTGCTCACAAGGGTTGGCACAATTTAGTCCTTCAATTGGTTAAGAGTTAAGACTTTGATCCAACATGCAAAGAGGCGATGAATTCAAGTCTCCTTAATTTGATAGTCTGTGAATTTCTAATCCTTGTACATAGCCAGTTTAGCTATGACCCCAAATTTAAAATTTTCCAAAACCATCCTTGAATATGTAATGATTTTAAAGATATTCCTATGAAATGGCTTCTCAAAATAAAAACTACACATTCTGGATTGATCCTTGATTATAGTGGTCCGAAAAGATACACAAATACCTGTTTTCTCTTCTTTTGACCAAAAAATCATACTTAACAAATCAATTCATATAAAATACAAATAGCTAGGGACCAAAACATTACTTCATATGTAAATGATACCTTAAAAGTTTAGAATTCCCAAATCTACGGAAATGAACGGTGAATGAACAGAAAAAGTGTTATAGCATTTGTTCATTTTTTTAAGTGTTTCTTATAATTTGTCTTTTACATGAAGCTAAACAGTCTAAATACTTTTGAATTTAGTCCCTATTTTGTAACCTTTTATTATCTTAGTCATTTAAATTTTATTATACTTGATTTTTATCCCTACAATAAATATTAAAATTTTATTATATTTGATTTTTATCTTTATAATAAATATTTTTTCTTAACTTTTAGTAAAACTATTCATAGTCTTATTCTTTATAAATTTTTTTTTGTTTTTTTTTTTTTGGTTTTAGTGATAGTTTTATTTATTGATTTTGATTTTTTTTTTTAATGATCTTTACTTTTTTTTGATAATTTAATTTTTATCGCATATAATTTTATCTCTATTTTTTTGTTATCGAATTCTCTAGTTGACAAAGTTTTTTATTTTTTTGTTTTGGATGGTCTTTCTATTTCATTAACAAATTATAAATGAAGAATATATAGTAAAAATTAATCATTTAAAATTCAAAAAATACCACATCATTATTTTAATTATCGGCTATTATATATATTTCTAATAAAATACATGTTTATATCAAACAATATCTAAGTAACAATATTATATTACTCAACTTTGCGAGACTTCTCGATTAATTAACACTACAGCAAAATATAATATATATGTTTTTTTTTTTTGCATGATCATTTTAAATAATTATTTTTAAATTTTATATAAATAAACATATAAGAATGCTGTATAATTCACCTCAAACTTTTTTCACGTGATCCTTTTAAATAATTTTTTATAAATTTTATATTTTATATGAATAAACACATAAAAATATTATATAACTCACCATATAGCAAAGCTCAAGATATATGCTAAGAGGGACTAAAACATAACTTACATATGTAAATGATACCTTTTAAAAGAGTTGGGGAACTATGCGTTGGCCCCTCCTACGCAGGGGTAGTGATTTTGCAACACTGCCCATTTAAATTGTTACTTCTTAACTGCGTTTTCTTTTCTTTTTCTTTTTTTCTTTTTCTGTTTTTTTTTTTTTTTTTTTTTTTTTTTTTTCATACTAAGAGATATCATCAAATTAATTTACACATCAATTGAAATCGTGTTTTTTTCTTGAACAATTTCAAAGATATATCACTCATATTGGTTTTATGCAATTAAAATTAAGAATATATTCTCTTATATGGCTCCACAATTTTTGAACTCAACAAATTAAAAAAAGAAGCAAATCTTCTTAATTACCAAACATAACTTTAAAATTATACTTTAACAAAGCAGAAACGCAATGTTGATAGCACAAAGAAGGTGTGCCATTATAAAGAAAAGGCGTGAAAAAATCACAACCCCTGTGCAGATACTACATGATAACGCAAATTCTTACTTGAATTGAACATGCATTTCATCCTCCTCTTACCTTCAAGCACGTATATATAGTTTATGTGTTTGTGTGTGCATATTTATATATATATTCACGTAAACTTCAGCAACTAGCATTGAAAAAGACCCCTATCCAGTGCAAGATTGTTGGAGCTAAGTCTATCCTGACCTTTCAAATATTTCCATTGTACTCTATACGAGCAGTGAAGGCGAAGATTTAAGACATGACTAATGTTAGTTTTGATAAGCTGACTCTTATGAACGTGATGATCTAGAGAATCAACGCACCAATTGAAAAGCATCGCTGCAGAGAAGAGGCAAGTATTCACCTTGATGTCACTCTGTTACCTGAAAATCCAGAAATTGAGGTTTTGTTTGGGAACAGAAATCATCGTTGGACTGCAATCAAGGTGAGGGGAACAAATAAAGTGGCAGATCTGAAGAACAAAACTAAGGATATTGGGGGCGTTTCCAACAAATGAAATGGCCTTAAATTGCTTTCTATTGGCATTCGTCTATACTTGATTATTGTGAAAACAAATAATTTTCAAAGAAAAATACAACTCTGAATATCGAATTTGCTCAACTCTTCCTATTACTTTATTTCTAATGTGATTGTCTGTTTCTTAATTCTTGTTCTGGAATCTTAGTTTTATACTCCTATCTTTGTAGCCTAACTTTATTGTATTCTTGTAACTCCTGCTAAATACTTGTGACTGTTGTATAATGCGGGGAGTGTGTGCTTCAGACAAGTATGACAACTGACAAGATATCAGAATGGGGTGGATGAATCTATATAAATAATTCACTGGCTCCGCACCCTGTTATTCCAATGATTTCTAGATTGTAATCCAGAACCAAAATATGGACTAATTTGGTTAGCAATCACTCCTAAGGAGACCCCACAAAAGCTAATATGGAAAATTAGAGGGAAATCAAATGATGATAATGCAATTACTACTTCAAATTCAAATCATTTCAAGGAATATCCAAGAACACAAACTCCCACAAAAGCTTTTTTGCCATAGCACCATGATGAAGTTTCAATTGCTAAATAATCAAGAGAGACGACCTTTAGCTAGTGAGAATTTGTAGACAAGTAAAGAATGCAGGAGATGATGGATAAAGCAGAAGAGACAAGAGAAGTAGCAGAGTTCCAGACTCCAGACACATATTTTAATACATAAAAGAATTGAAGGCAACAACTTATTACCTATTTTTATGTTTATTAGTTAGCATGATGGCTTCATGAATGAGATTGTCCTTAGCATTCGTCGTATCAAAATTAGTAAAAATAAAAAACGAACAATGGAATTAGCTTGGTTGATATCTACTTGGATCACTTCATCGATGCCTCAAATGTTTTTAATTAATGTAGCAGCCCATCAAGAAGCAAATTTTTCTATGAACTTTGATAGCTTTCATTTTCACATCAACTGTAACCTTATCTATTCTCAGTACTGTCAACTAATTTATTTTTGTATTTTGGTATGAGCAAACTAAAATTGTTGTTTTGACTGTCGAAGAAGTTATTGTGGCACACATAAATGGCAAATCCGGAAACCAGACACAAAGGATCAAGAATGAATTCTAAGCTATTCTTTTGTTCTAACTATTGGAGCCTTTGTATTGATGGACATGGATTCAGCAAACAAAGTGAGGAATAGCTATGGTTATCTTTGCCGTTCCTGGTTTTTCACAGTTTCCTTTGTAATGAATCCATGTTTGAAAAAGCATTCCCTCGTAAAGCAGTGACAACCAAAAGAGGAGAACCGAAAAAACACCTTTCTACAAAAAATAAAGAACCAAATTGGTGCTTCACTGTTCTCAATTCAGCAACACTACCTTTCCCATAAGTTTTCAACCAAGCTAATTCCATGTAGTTAACCAATGAAAAGATTTTAGGTAATAATCTATCCTAAAAATAAGATTGAGTTAAAAAAATAATAATAATATCCGGGCTGGTATAAAAAAAGGACAGCTTGGCTGCCCCTTAATTTTCTCTCTTTTCTCCTTCTCTCTCACGCATTTTCTCTCCAGAATTTCTCCCAATTCTCTCTTTCAAATCCTAAGCTGAAACCTTGTTAAATTAGGTTAGAAAAATCATAAACTACTTGATTAAGTAGAGCTTAGCTAGATTGAAGTTTGAAAAGCTTGGGGAGCTAGGATTGATTGAGAGTTGAAGGAAAAATTCTCAAAGGTAAGATTTTGGTCAATAAATTTTGGGGCGCTTAGCTAGATGATTTTAAAGTTAGATTATTCAAAAAGAAAATCAAGGAAATTTAAATGAATTACTTTCTGTTCTTTCTCCAGGCTTTCTTCTTGCCTCCAGTGGCACGCCTCTTGTGCATAGAGTCACGTGAGATACCTTCAAAGACATAGACATTATTTTACAAAACAGAACAGAAGATAAGATATAGAAACAGAGAAAGAACAAGAGATTGAGTGAGTGGGTTGTTAGTGTTGCCCATGGTTGCAGTTCTGTTACGGTTCCAGAGACGACTGATCTATCTGTGCCTCATCGCCTCCAACGCCTTCTGCTCTTATTCCTAAACCTAAACCCTACGTTTATGTACGTTGTCCATCAACATGGGCTCTTTTGCCATTTCACATGTTCCCCATCTTGCCGTTTTAATTTGGGTAAATTTCCATTTACCCCTCTACGTTTATATATTGTCTAAATTTCGCTTGGAACTTTTGATTGTTTTCCAATTACCCTATATATATTATTTTTATTCCAATCAGTCCTTAAATCATTCTCTCTCTCTTTTTTCTCTAATTCACCCTTAGTTAAAAAAAAAAAAAAGGTGTATGAATTTTAATTTTATCTCTAAAATTATAAAATGCATCAATGTTACTCAAAAGTAAATAAAAAATAAACAAATTGAAATTAATAAAAATAATAACAAAAAATCAATTAAAAAAGACTTGTTTTTAGTAAAAGCATCAAATACACTCCGTGTTTAAATACTATACCGTAAATATTGTTGTAATTCTTCTATACAGATATAGTTCATTATGAATTTTATGATGTTAGGTGTTGGTGCTAAATAGCCCTTTCGTTAATTTTTTTATCACATTAATTGATTTTCGTTAATTGAATCATATTTAATAAATCAAGTAGCGACATGTGTCAACTTAAGGGTAAATTAAAATTTTCTTTTAAAATCAATTTTTTAAGTTAAAATAATTAATAATTATTATAAAATCATTAAAAATTGAAAAAAATTAAAGAAATTTTGTACAATGATTAGATTTTTTTAATTACTAATGTATTTATAAATAATAATAATTATTAAAATTTTGAAATAAAAAAATCTAAAGAAACTTTTAATAATTTTATAATAATTACTAATAAAGAAAATTTAAAAAAAAATCTAAAGAATTTTTTTTAATTGAAAAAAATAATAATCAAATTTTTTATTAAAAATAATTAATAATCATTATAAAATCAGTTTAAAAATCTAAAGAAAATTTTTTTCAACCAAAAAATGAAAAAAATTAATTATCAAAATTTTTTATTAAAATAATTAATAATCATTAAAAAATTCTTTAGATTTTAAAAAATTATATTTATTAATAATTATTTTAAATGTTAAAAATTGAAAAAAAAATTAATACTTATTATAAAATAATTAAAACTGAAAAAAATTTCCTTACACATGTTTTTAAAAATTTTCTTTAACAATAATTATTATAAAATCATTAAAAGTGAAAAAAATTTATTATTTAAAAAAAAATTCAGAATTTTTTCCAATTTTAATAATTTTATAATAATTATTAATTATTACAACTTTGAAAAAAAAAACTAATTTTAAATTGACACGTGTTGTTATTTGATTGGGCAAATGTTAATCAATTAATAGAAAATAGTCAATCTAATGAAAAAAGTTAATAAGAAGGCTGTTTTGTACCGAGTGTTTAATAAAATTTGTTATGAACTATATCTGAATAGAAGGATTGTAACGATATATTTTATATACTACGAGTCCACAGATGTATTTAATCTTTTAGTATGATAAAACTTGAGATGGTTTGTTTCTCTAGAAATACCTCAATCCTATCAACTTTACTTTATTCAGCAATATTATTTTTTTCTTTATCAATACTACAATTAAACAAACTTTAAGATTGAAATAAATTTAACTCTAAGTCATGTTAAACTTTTTTTTATCCTCATTTTAGTATTCCAATCTTGTGGAATTTTGATTTTTCTTTTCTAGAAGTTTTTGTTGAAGATTTCATAATGGATTTCGATAGATAATTAGATAAAAGGTGTAGATATAATATGCTAGTAAGCGGCATGAGAGTAAACAATAATAGCACTTGAAGTTGTTGTTAAATTTTTTAATCATATATATATTTTTTAATCTTAACTTATTCTTGTATATATTGTCAAAAGATTGGTAGATATATTGATTAATTTTTTTATCACATTTTTTTATTGGAAAAATGTCTTTTTTAATGAATTTTTAATTTCAATTTGTTCATTTTTACTTTCTAGGTTATGTTGAGATATTCAATTAACTTTGAAAAAAAAATGAAATTTATACATCTTTTTCATTACTATTTTTACGGCATAAATAAGCAAAAAAGGAGAGTTGAATAAATACAAAAAGATAGATGGTCTAATTGAAACAAAATAAAGATTTTAGATGAAATTAAAACAAGACATAAACCACAAGGGAGGAAAATCGAAATTTATCTTTTTTACTTTTATTTTTGTTAGCACCTCACTGTATGTTTTATTTCTATTTGCTAAGGGCAATTTACTTTTCTGATTATAGTTTTAAGTTTTTTTATATGATTTAATTCATATATTTTATTTTTTCAATTGAAGAAAATTAATATTTTATTTATATATTCTATTCAAATAATAAAAAAAATAAAAGACAAATCATAATCCAAAATTTTAAAATTTTTCCTCGTAAATAATTGAAACAATCACAAATAAGTCTATTATTTAAATTGTTGTTTCAGAACTAAAATTTAAGAAAATTCTAACATTTATACTCTTTAAATTAGAGAAAAACAATTATGGAATATATTTATTAAAGTAAATAATATAGAGATGAACATATGTAATTTTATAAATTTTCATTAAAATAAAGAAACTCAAGAATAATTCCAGCTCACATAATAATGAGACAATGACATAAAAGAAAGCCGCATCGGTGGCATGCACAGTAGATTGAGGTTTCAATTGAATCCCTTTTTTTATCTTTTTTTTTTTTTTTTGTCCAGTTTAAAGAAAAATATCATCATGTTGAATTTAGGTAACAACCTTGTTGACAGCTTAATTACGTGAATTTAAGTTAGCATTACTGAAAGTCTCCATCTCCATCAAATCTTATTTTATACTTGTATAGATAGATAGATAGATTAAATTAGATGGGTTTATTTAGTATATTGCGTGGTCTGCCTGGCTTCCAAGCTCTTAATGCTTAAATTGTGACATCTAACAGTCACTACTTACATTCATTCATTCATTTCATCTCCCTCACTTGTTCTTCTCAAACCCCCTCCACTTCTTCTCTCATCTCATCACCTCCTCTCTTAATATTCACTGCTCTCTTTCTCCGACTTTGGATTAGCCCCATAAAGTCTGCCTCTCTCTTCCTTGCTTCTCTACAACTTATCGTCTTGCAAGTTTTAATTCCTTTAAGGTACTCTTTCTTCTCTTTTATCTTCTTTCTTTCTTGTGACATCTTGTGTTTTTCTTGAAGGCGTTGATTATGGAATTTTTATGTTCTTTGGCCAACACAGGTTTTGAAAAGCTAGGTAGGCATAGTCATGGTGATGATGGGACTGGAGAGGTTGATGATGAATTTGAAATCGAAAATAAGGCATTTGAAGATGAAGAAACCTTATGATAAGATTGAGAAGAGTGAGAGCATGAGAGTTGAGATAAGAAGCAGGAAGGCCAAGAAGCTCATTGAAGAGACCTTGAAAATTGCAGATTCACCAAAGACCAAAACTTATGCTTTTTGAGTACTACTTAATTACTACGTACTGTTCCTCTTCATCATCTCAAATTAATGTTTTGTTGTTGCTACAAGGAATTAATATTTAAGCATGTTTTAACGAAAGAAGATATATAATACAACAAGTTCCTCTTTTGATTTGTTCTGGCATGAGTTACTTTTCTTTTCTTATTTATCTTCATACCATAGACTTTTCATGATGACCATACGTATTAAAGGGCTCGAGGGTATGATACAGACAACCTTATAAAGAAATTGCCATATCCGAGTACATATGGTCTCCGTTCTTTCTGGACGTGGAGATTCCAAAGCAAGACATGGATTTTCTTTTTATTTGTACTTGTGTTGTTTATGTTTATGTGATCACGGGTCATCTTTGAGCAATAGACAAATATTACAGGATTTAAGGACTTGTTCTCTTTTATTTTAGAGAACCTAAAATTTATTTTTAATTAATGGATCATCATCCGTGAAATAATCCTCAAGTAGGGATTTGTTAAATTCATTAAGTCTATGTTTGATAACTTAATGCATGTGTTTTTGTTAAAGCGTTATTTAATTGAAAATACATCAAATTGATGGGTTTTGAATTATTTTTTTTATATTGGTTTTGATGTCTTCACCTCAAAATCATTTAAAAACACTTTTAAATTGTATTATCTAAGAAGCCTAAGAAGTAGAATGTACTTCTCATGCATGTTTGCTTATCAAAAATAAAACAATCACTCCATTAATCCTGTTAAAAAATAATATAAAAATCATTTTATGACATTACTTGATAGCTTAACTTTTTTAAAATTAAGATAATTTTTAGATCTGATATCAAATCTTTAATGATCACATGATTAAGAGAGAGAATCTCATAGATTATCAACCTCATTCTTTCTAATAAAATTAAACATAGAGGTGATGTTGAAAGGCAAGACTATAGCAATAAGGGACTGCACATGAGTGGAATTCGCCCATATGTACGAGTCGAAATGTGTGAAAATAATACGAAAAGTCACTTTTAATTAACCTTATCTTGACCTAAATATAAAGTCGTCATCTCAATGTGAAAGAAGAATTTTAATTTTTTGTGCTGCCGTATCCAACAATTGAAGCGCTGATCGACACTAATCCTTTTATTAAACGTTGATATGGATCATCAATATTAATTTAATTTAATCCACGTAATAAAGCTATAAAGAAGACAAATTAGAGTTATATGATAAGAAAGAGGACTTTGCTGATGATATTTTCCATAAGAGGTCAGTCTAAGCTGATAAGGAGTGGTGACTGATGATGGAATATAAAGTAGTAGTGAAGAGCTAAAGCAGCAAAAAGAACCCTGCACATGACTTGGCCTTTCTATATGAACATTGACAAGAAAGAATGTAAAAAGGATGGTAGACATATATGAGGCCATGAATATTCATTCATACAAGACAAAACATGGAAGGTTGGTCGTGAAATCAAGATTTGCAGGTGGACATGTCTTGCGGTTAAGAATAACATTATTTGATCAATTATTTTCAAAAAAGCAAGTCCATTCTCACTTTCCACTACATATTTTAGAGAGAAAAAGAGTGTCCACTTAAAATGGCATATGGTATTGCAAAAGGGTTCCTGTTAACAAAATCTTATGCTGTAGTTCTACAGACTAAAGTGGTTGGAATCTTCATTTATTGTATAATTAGACAAGTGAATGAAAACAATAAGTAGATGTGTGATGTACATGTTCATACACTTGTCTCGCAATGCAAGGTGTCAATTTATTAGGTTCAGGTTTGTCAAACTAAAAACAAAAAACAAAACCCAAAACCCAAATGGAGTGCAAAAAACAAAGTGCTTTTCTTCCAAGGGCAGAAATGCCGATTTACGCTCTTTGCTCACAAGGGTTGGCACAATTTAGTCCTTCAATTGGTTAAGAGTTAAGACTTTGATCCAACATGCAAAGAGGTGATGAATTCAAGTCTCCTTAGTATGATAGTTTGTGAATTTCTATTCCTTGTACATACCTAGTTTAAAGGATCCTCAAAAGTATTAAGACGTTTTTAAAATTCAAGAGTAGTTAAATCCGTTTAGCATTCATATAAAAGATAAATTACCAAAAAAAACTAAAAGAAATGAGGGTTTTGAACAGTGATTTTCACTATTCTTTCCCTCACAATTCACTATTCATTTACTATAGCTTAGGTTTTTTTTTATATAATTTTCAAGTTGTTTTATTTTAGTATCTAAAATTTTAAAATACAAATTTTAATCCCTTAAGCTGATGCATTACACATGTTTTATTTTCATTTGGTTTTTTTTTTCTTTTGATTTTTTTTCATCAATTTATGTTCTTTTTTTATTTAACTAGGTTTTAAAATTTTGAAAAATCAATCGTTATTTTTTTTCACACAAACCACGATTATATAACATATACAATATGTTTTTAAATTTTAAAATAAATATATTATTGTTTAAAATCAATTTTTTCGATTTATTATAAAAAAATTTCATCAATTTAATTTTTATTCTTATTTTTTATATAATTTTATTTATTAATAAATATGATTTATTTTCTCTATGTGTGGATTCGAATAAGTTTTTTTTTATATCTTTTTTTATTTCCTTAATTCTTATATAATCAAATTTTAAAAATAGAATATATGTATTTTATTTTCTTATTATTTATATAACCAAATTTTATCGAAATCAATTTTATAGTTTTTATTGCACTCTATTAACTTCAATATATATTTTATAAATTATTTTTTAAAATATTTTTTTTAATTTATGCTATACATTCTCACATATCGAGTACGATCATGATATATAAAAAATAATAATATTAGAATCATTGATTTTATTAGAAATCAACTATGCATCTACGTACACAATACTAACTATTTGCTATTATTTTTTAATATTTTAAAATTAATTTTTTCAAATAAAATGACTGAAATAATATTTTGGAATAACCGCATAATAATTCAAACACAATTTTGTATACTAATATTATTCATTATTTTGTAAATAAATATATATAAATTAAATATACATATTTTAAAAAATAATCTTCTCATCGATAAAAAAAGCTTCATTTGTTAATGTTCATACAAATTTTTATATTAACTATTGCTTTATTTCTTTGATGCAATATTATGAAACAAAATATTAAGACCTTTTTTAAAAAAATTTATATTAAAATTTATTTATTATGAATTTTCATTTAAGAATAAATGCATGAGAAAGAATAAATCATATTTTTTTGACTTCAAAATTTATTCAAAACATAAAAAAAAAATTATATGTAGATACAAAATTTTGATTAAAAATTAGATAAAATTTTATATTTTATATTTAATTTAATATATTTTAATTAACTAACAATATAGTATATGTTATCAAACTGAAATAAATATGTTTAGTTCGGTTTGCAGCATAACATGAGAATTTGAACTATTCATATATCTAAAATTTCTATTCACTTACTCTTCATATGCATGAAATTACTATTTATTTTATGGCAATTTAACTATTTTTTGTGTGTGTATTTTTATATATATATATATTTTTTTGGGCATTAATGTGCAAATTTAACACTTTTTCCTATTTTCATCCCTCATGTTTTTTTTTTTTTTCAATCCTCAACTTTCATTTTTTTTCATTTTCAAGTAGCATGTATATATATATAATTAATTAACATATACTTCAGCTTATATTATTCTATTAAATTTCATTCTTTGAATTTATCATTTTTTAATGAAAATTCTCATTAAATTAATATTTTTTATATAAAATTTTATTTACTGAAAAATATAATTTATCTTTCTCTATTTTTGAATTTTAAAACAAGATTTTTTTTCTTTTTTTAAAATAAAAGGATATAATATATATCATGAATTGTTACAATTTTTAAATGATAGTTGCATACATATAAGTATATAATTATTTTATTATAAAAGGTTAAAAGTGTAGTTCAAATAATTTATCTCAGTTCATTAGGTATGGTCAAGACGTATAAAAAAAATTATTGAATCATTGTTTTTATTAAAAATTAATTATACATCTTCCAACATAATACAAATTATATATTATGAATATTTTTTTTAACATCATAAAATGAATTTATTTGAAATAAAATAATTAAAATAATTTTTTAAAGGAACCAACAAGTTATTCAAATACAATTTTTTATGCTAATTTTATTGATTATTTTGTAAATAAATATATAAAGATTAAATACATACACTTTTTTTAAAAAAAAATCTTTTCATCAAAATTAAATAAGAATAAAATTTTATTTTTTCATTAGTTAATTTTTATGTTAGTCTATATATTAATTGTAACTTTATTATTTTTTTTTTTGGATACATTCTTATATAAAAATATATATTTTTAAAGTATTTGTTTTTAAATTCTTAATTAATATCCCTAATTTAAATTATTATAAGTTTTTATTTAGGAATCACTGAATAAAAAAGAATAAATTATGTTTTTTAAGTAGAAATTTTATGAAAAAAATAGTAATAATTAAATAAAAAAATTAATGAAAAAAATTATAAAATTTTGAAATGATTTTATTCTATCCGTTCGTAGTATTCCTCCGATAATTTCAAAAATTAATTTTCTCATCAACATTAAATAAAAAAAAATTTCATTTGCTAATTTTTATAAAAATCTATTCATTAATTATAATTTTATTTTTTGGAATATAATATTATGAAAAATATGTTTTAAATGTTTTAATTTTAATTAAAATTATTATAAGTTTTTATTTTAAAATCAATTCATAAAGACGAATGATTTATGTTTTTTTTAAGTAAAAAATTTATGAAAAATATTAAAAAATTTTAATTAAAAAATTTTAAAATAATTTTATTTTATCATATTTGAAGCATAGTACGGACAAGTATTTAGTAGGGACTAAAACATAAATTACATATGTAAACAGTAAACGATACCTTTTGAAATGTGAAGGAATTTTGAGCATGCGTTGGCACCACCATCTACGCAGGGGTTATGATTTTGCAACGCCGCCCATTTAAATTGTTACTTCTTAACTGTGTTTTTTTTTTTTTTTTTTCATAGTAAGAGATATTCTCAAATTCATTTACACATCAATTGAAATCGTGTTTTTTTTTTCTTGAACAATTTGAAAGATATATCACTCATATTGGTTTTATGCAATTAAAATTAAGAATATATTCTCTTATATGGCTCCACAATTTTCGAACACAATAAATTAAAAAAAAAAAAGCAAATCTTTTTAATTACCAAACATAACTTTAGGCTCCGTTTGTTTAGCAGAAAATAACTTTTATAAGCAAATAAATTTTGAGGAAGCTATTTTTCAAGAAATTGTTTTCTAAAAAAATATTTTTTGACGTTTGATAATTACATGAAAAAACTACCGATAAGCATATTCTAGTATTTGTTTAATTTAGAAAACTGAAATAAAAAATAGTTTTTTTTTTTTAGAAATTGAACTAATAATTCAGTCTAAAAAATAATTTTACAAATTATTTGTTATCATTTATAGATAATTATTCATTTGATTTCAAAAGATTAATGTTGGAATAATTTTTAACTAATTATTGACTACAATTACCGATAAAATTTTACAACTGATTAAAATTAATCACAAATTATTGACTTAATTACAAATGAATAGTATTGAAAAATAATGTATTTATTAATGAATCAATTAGTTTTAAATTTTTACAAATGATTGCGATCTTATAATAATCATTTCTAATTATTTAAATATAGTTTATGTGGTGTTTGGGATAATGGTAAAAAAAAATAAAGATATTATTAAAATATTTATTATAAAAATAATTTTAAGGTATAAAATGATTTTATTTAATGTATTTATAAATCGAAAAATCAAATGTTAATAGAAATAGATAAAAAAATAATTTAATAATTAACAATAATTGATAAGAAATAATTAAAAATTAATTTGATATATTTTAAATAAAAATGAGATAGATAAAAAATATTATTAAAATATATAGAGAGGAAGGTGAGTAACACACGAACGAGACAGACGCGTGAGAGAGAAGGAAAATGTTTTTTTCTTTTTTAATTAAAAAAAAAACTTTCTCAAAAATACTCTATTATTTTTCATTTTCTGTTGATTTTTTTCCTAAACACAAAATAAATATGGAAAAATGAAAAAAACAAGTTACCCAAACAAACACAATGCTGATGGCTTATAGAAGGTGTACCTTATAAAGCAGATACTACATGATGATACAAATTCTTACCTGATTCAAACATGCATTGAAAAAGACCCCTGTCCCGTGCAAGATTGTTGGAGCTAAGCCTATACTGACCTTTCAAATGTTTCCGTTGTTTCTATAAGAGCGGTGAAGGCGAAGATTTCAGACGTGACTAATGTTAGTTTTGATAAGCTGACTCTTGTGAACTTGATGTGCTAGAGAATCAAGGCACTGATTGAAAAGTATCGCTGCACAGAAGAGGCAAGTATTCAACTTGATGCCACTCTGTTACCTGGAAATCCAGAAATTGAGGTTTTGGTTGGGAACCGAAATCATCGTTGGAGTGCAATCAAGGTGAGGGGAACAAATAAAGTGGCAGATTTGAAGAACAAAACTAAGGATATTGGGGGCGTTTCCAACAAATGAAATGGCCTTAAATTGCTTTCTATTGGCATTCATCTATACTTGATTATTGTAAAAACAAATAATTTTAAAAGAAAAATACAACTCTGAATATCGAATTGCTCAACTCTTCCTATTACTTTATTTATAACGTGCTTCTGTTTCTTAATTCTTGTTCTGGAATCCTAGCTTTATGCTAATATATTGGTAGCCTAAATTTATTGTATTCTGGTAACCCCTGCTAAATACTTTGTGACTGTTGTATAATGCGGGGAGTGTGTGCTTCAGACAAGGATGACAACTGACAAGATATCAGAATGAGGTGGATGAATCTATATAAATAATTTCACACCCTGTTATTCCAATCCAGAACCAAAATATGGACTAAGTTGGTTAGCATTCACTCCTAAGGAGACCCACAAAAGCTAACATGGAAAATTAGAGGGAAAAAAAAGAGATGATAATGCAATAACTACTTCAAATTCAAATCATTTCAAGGAATATCCAAGAACACAAACTCCCACAAAAGCTTTTTCTCCATGGCTCCATGATGAAGTTTCAATTGCTAGATAATCAAGAGAGACGACCTTTAGCTATTGAGAATTTGTAGACAAGTAAGGAATGCAGGAGATGATGGATAAAACAGATGAGACGAGAGAAGTAGCAGAGTTCCAGACTCCAGACACATATTTTAATAGGTATAAGAATTGAAGTTAACAACTTGTTACCTATTTTTTTGTTTATTAGTTAGCATGATGGCGTAATGAATGAGAAAAGTCCTTAGCATTCCTCGTATCAATATTAGTAAAAAATAAAATAAAATAAAAAATGAACAATGGAATTAGCTTGGTTGAAATCTACTTGGATCACTTCATTGATGCCTTCAAATGTTTTTTAAGTAATGCAGCAGCCCATCAAGAAGCAAATGTTTCTATAAACTTTGACAGCTTTCATTTTCACATCAACTGTGACTTTATCTATTCTTAGTACTGTCAACTAATTCATTTTTGCATTTTGGTACTGTCGAACAAGTTATTGTGAAGCACACATAAAAGGCAAACCCCGAAACCAGACACAAAAGATCAAAAATGAATTCTAAGCTACTCTTTTTGTCTAAGTATTGGAGCCTTTGTATTGATGCACATGGATTCAGCTAACAAAGTGAGGAATAGTGATAGTTATCTTTGCCGTTCCTGGTTTTTCACAGTTTCCTTTGTACCGAATCCATGTTTGAAGAAACATTCCCTCGTAAAGTAGTGACAACCAAAAGAGGATAACCAAAAAAACACCTTCCTACAGAAATAAAAGAACCAAATTGGTGCTTCAGTGTTCTCAATTTCAGCAACACTACCTCTCCCACAAGTTTTCAACCAAGCTAATTCCATATAGTTAACCAATGAAAAGATTTACAAAGCACAGGAAGTGGAAGAAAGCCTAGAATCACCATGGGCAGAAAGTCATCTCAATAACCATTACAGCAAGTCAACAACTCTTTTATTTTCTGAGAATCACATAACAATAAAATTAGAGAATAGGATTGGTTAAGTAGAAAAAAGAAATTCTCCCTTTATACTAACCCAAGCTTGGAAAACGCAGATCACAACTTTGCCCTTTGAAGCTCCTTAGACATGCACACCTGCATCATATAAATCAGTTGAAAACATTTTTATTCTTTATTTTTTTCAGAACCCACCCTTTGTTAAATAAGAAGGAAATAAGGAAGAGTTCTATGCAAGAAAGAAAAAAATAAAATCAAAAACTCACCAAAGAAAGATGGAAAACCACTAAAATCCTCAAGTCAGTATGGCATAAAGAAGTCATAAAAGTCCTGCATATCAGAAAGAAAAACAGTAAAAGGTCATTAGAAGCAAATAAACAAACAAATATTAATGTATAAAAGTGACAAACAATAGCCATAAAAACCGCAAAAGAGGATAGAAGAGGTTGAACCATGAATGAGGGAAGCAAAGTATGATTATTAACAGTGAAAATAAGCCTCAATGCAATAGAAACAACTAATTACCAGCACCAGAAAGCTATAAAGAAAGGGAAATGAAAAGAAGAAAGTAACATGTTTGAAAATCAAGAGAACAAAGCAAAATCAAATATCCTTTCCAAAAGGGAGCTGAATTGGAGAAAGCAGATTTATTAATTGATTTAATTGCTAATCGATGGAAAAAACTTTATGCTTGCATATAGCTATCAAACTCAAAAGTCTAAAGAAAATTGGAGAAGGTGCAAGAACCCAGGTATTCCATTGGAGTTCTAGAAATTCCAAAAAAAAAAACACTATTGAGAAAGATAGCTTGATTGCATAAACTAAATGCATAGAAGAGAAGGAAGTTGTTCAGAAAAAATAAAAAATAAAAACAGAAAGGAAGAATACTCGCCAAGAACCAGATAGAGGAGCCAAGGGACATGCACCAGAAAATTCTCATAAACAGAAGTATTGTGAATTAGATGGAATCTACAACCACTGGTTCACAGAAACAGATAGCTTCTCGCTCGACTTCAAACCAGCTAGCAACTTCATGTGTATATGAACATCACATATAAAAACATTTGATGTATCATGAGGCAATTATATTTGCTGCCTTCAAAAGTAATATAAAGATCAGAAAATGCTGTCTCCATTTGGAAAAAAAAAAAAAAAACCACTAATACACTGCATGTGGTAACATTTGAGTACAGGGATATGCAGAAGACTTGACCAGTCGATAAATGTGCAAATGGATTTTGCTGGGGCCAGGGAGCTTGCATACTTCAAAGAATGCAATCATAAAAAGCAGCACTCGGTTCAAGAAGAGGGAAACAAGCTTCCACTCTTCCTTATCAGACGTGGTTGCGCTAAAATGACAGAGACAGTTTCACCCCGTGACAAAACCCTTCCAGGATCTTTCTCTTGAGGCTTAATTAGCAGAATCAACCACCAGAAACTTCTTTTTTTCTTTTTCTTTCAGTACACTTGGATGTCAAAAGTCAACAAATAGATAGGCGAGAAAAAGATAAAAATTGAAAAGAGAAAGATAAGAATAATTATCTCTAAAGAAGATGAAATTTTGAGATAAGCGTATATATATTTAAATGTTACATTAATAAAGTTTGAACCTATTTCCTTTTTTGAAACACAGTCAATTGGCTAGACATGAACTGGGATCCAATTCTAAGTTATACATATAAGCATTAACGATCAAACTGACAAACCCGAAGAAAAGACTAATTAAATATCATAAATGACTTACAAAATGGCCTGACTGATTATAAACCATTCTGCAGAGAATCTCCAGCTCCCTGGAAGAAGTAATATGAGAGTGCAAAATCAGCAATAAAGATACCAACCAGCGAGATAACCACAGCTGAAGTTGTCGACTCCCCAACACCTTTAGCACCTCCCATGGTTGTAACTCCCCATGCACAGCTCACTATAGATATGATGGCACCAAAAACCCCTGACTTGATCATTGCACTAATTAAATCCCATGATTTAAGAACTCTCCGAGCCGATTCGAATATAATGTTAAAACTAATGCCATAGACACTGTCAACCAGCAAGCCACTGGATGCAATCCCCATTGTGAAACACATCAAAGTCAAAAATGGGAGAGCAAGACAGGAAGCAATCACTCTTGGGGTTATTAAGTAATCAACGGGGTTCGCACCAAGAACCCTCAATGTGTCAGTTTGCTCAGAAACCTGCATTGTTCCCAACTCTGCAGCAAATGCACTCCCTATGCGCCCAGCAACCACAATTGATGTGACCACAGGACTCAGCTCCCTTGAAAAGGCTAGGGCTAATACACCACCAATTGATCTGTTTAATCCCAGTCTAGTAAACTCTTTAACAAATTGGATGGTAAAAGCCATGCCAACAAATGCAGAGGTCAAAAGACAGACCCCAACTGATCTCGGCCCAACTCTCTCCAGCTGTTGTAAAGTATTCCTCCAGTGAATTTTTCCCTTCAAATTCCTGATAATGACCTGACCTGCCAAGACAGGAACTGATAATCCCCTCCAAAGGTACCCCAGAGGCGACCATTTGGTAAAATATGTCTCTCTTTTGGAACTGAGTACATGGTTCGTAGTTGTGTCTTCTTCCAACATAGACAAAGACGTATGGCCATCATGTATGTTCGGAATAACAAACAATTTGGTTTGTCGAGCATGCGATGTAAATTTAGACATCTGACATTGTCTACCAAAACCAAGTTGACTGAATTTCAAAGTTTTCATCTTTATCCACCCTTTCGGTTTTACATAGCTTCTTCTGCAATATGTTTAAAGCGTCAATTAAAATTACTAGTTCTTTCTCTGATTTTCCACCCAAAACAAAACTAAGAGAGATGAATAGACATTAGTCAGTAAACCACAAAAGAGACATTTCAAGGGATATAACTGTTGGAATAAATCGAGCGAAGATGAGAAGTTGATTGCATGTTTTTCTTCCTCCTCCCACTTCTAGCAAATAATCTAATTTCAGATGTCTGTAGAGACAATGAGTGCAAGCAAAAACAGATGAGATTTGGTAAACCTCAATCACAAAACTTTCGACAAACTAAAAACATATCGTCCTTCAAAATATGATCTTGCACACTCACAGATACATAACAAGCTCAACGAAACACAAAATCAGCCCCCACAAGTTTTTTTTTCTAATCCCAAGTGTGTTTAACATACAAGGCATATATTTTGATTAGTCGAGACGAAGAACAAAAATCGAAGAAAACAACATTGATTTAAGAACCCATTATTATTGTTTGTTGTTGAAAGAAATATTTAAGAAAGAAAGAGCGGATAATTATGCATTCAAATTCAAATTTAAGATTTAATTAAACATGGAAGATAACATATCAATATCAACCCACAGTAATAACTAAGGTGAGAGTTTATTACCTTTTGGGGGTTTTGACTCGCTTAAACCCCAGAACCTTGAGAGGTTTGAGGGTCCAATCCAATGCCCCCCTTGGCGTATAATCTCTGGTTACGGCTGTGGTGCGGTGGCACAGAGCAGTGGTTGTTACATTTTAGTGGATGTCATGTGGTGGTTGCCACTTGCTGCTGGCGGTTCTGCTCTTGTTAATTTCATGGTTTTCGACCCCTTACCTACCCCCTCGATCTGGGAAATCACGCAATGAGCATGCATGTCTCTTCTCTCATGTTCGAGTCTCTTCTTTTAGCCTCTGTCAATAAATAAATAAATATTCAATTTTATGGTCATTTATTGAATAAGTTATCCATATGTGTGTGTTTTTTTGGTTAGAAAATATCAATTAAAAAAAAAAATTAAGTGACACATCTATTTTCCTTCCACTAAACAATTACTTAATCTTTGTGTTAATCTCTCTAGTTTTAAAAAATATAATATTGAATTCTTGTAACTTATTTCTTTTATAGTTTTCCATGCCAAAAAAAAAAAAAAAATTAAACCAGACTTACAAAATACATAACTATATATCAAGACACGAATTTCTTAAAATTTGAATAATGCTAGAGATATTTAATTTTTTACAAAAATTATTTCACTAAATGATATAGTAGCATATGATTGGTGATTTATTAGTCAATACATTTTATGAAAACATTTTTATGTAACAAAAGTCACGTAACTTAGTAAAAAAATTGTAAAAAATTTAAGTACCCTAGCATTTTCCTAAAACAATATGATTAACTATTATATCCTTAATACATTATTAAGTAGTAACGTTATAACTATCTCCAATACTAATAAGTAACTTCCACCTCACCTCCAAATAAAAAATAAATTATTAAAACCTCAAAAGTAAGCTATTATTGATTTCCATTATTTTCCTATTTATTAAAATATAAATCTTAAATAATATAAAATAATTTTTTTAAATCACTTCTAACCTATATGGTATATTACTACTTACAAGCACATTTACATTGTTTATGAAAACTTTGAAAATGCTTTAAAAAAGCCTTAAAAAACACGATAATATTAAAATGTATAAATAATCAAACTACATCAAAACTCATTAACTTATTAAATTGGATACCTATGAATTTTTTAATTGTCTTACAATACTTTTTACTTCTTTCGGAAAAAAATGATCAACATTTTTTTTCTTTTGACAAATTTTACCAATTATAAAAGATTTATTGAAATAACGGTTCATAAAAATTTTATTTATATCTATATTGTTAAGTTCTAGTCACATCTCATTTAATAATAATAAAAATCTTACATATAAAAAGATTTATTCTAATACCATATTATCGCACTAAAAGTTGGTAGGATCTTAATAAAATTATTGTTCACATAATGCACTTCGCATGTCCACAAGATATAAGTAGATTTTAGGATTTACCTCATAGTCGGACCTTGTATTTTTTGAAATTTTTTTATTGAAACCTTTACTTTTTTTTTTTTACTTAATTAAAATCCTTTATTTTATGAAATTTTTTTATTTTAAATTTTCTTTCTTATATAAAAACAAACACCACGTTAACTCGAAGTCTAAACTAATAGGTTATGTATCCATCTTATATAAAAGTATCTCGGTTTTTCTTATTCCTTTATAATATAAGATATTTACTAGGGATAAGCAAATGGTTCGGTTAATCGAAAACCGAATTAAACCGGATCAAATTATGAAATTTGATTCGGCTACAAATTAAAAAATATATAATTTATAACCGAACCGAAAAAACCAAAATAATTTCGGTTCGGTTCAATTTTTTTTTTTAAGAAACGAGTTTGAACCGAAAATCGTTTTTTTATTATTCCTAATTCTAATTTCTAAATTCTAAATACCTAAGAATAAGATCTAACCCTAACTTAGTAACTCCCTTAGCTCGTCTCTTTCGAATTTCCTTTCCTTTCGACGTAGACGAAGTCACACGGAGAGCGACGGCCAACGCCTAGGATTCCAAGCAAGCCAACAACGAGCAAACTCGGTCACTCTCATTCTCGTCTCTCGTACTCTCAAGTTTCGGACTCTCGGCCTCTCACCGACTCATTGTCTCACGAGTCACGACTCTCACTCTCGGCCTTTCACGGATCTCGCACTCTCAAAGTCTCACTCTTCTTCTCCTATTTTTCACTCTCCACTCTGAGTGACGGTGAGTCCGGTCCTCTTCTAGAGTTTCGGACTTCCGGTCCTCCGGACTCCACGCTCCAAGCTCCAATCCTTTTCCGGTCTTCCTTCGTCAAGCTTCATATCTTTCAAGGTTAGTCTCTTTTATTATTTTTTTATTTTATCGATAAGTGATAACAAAAATGTATTGGGCATAGATTAAGTTGTTTTTCGGATTCCTTAGTGAGTTGTGATAACCGATATACTTTGTTCCGCACTGTGGTGTTGTCTTGGAAGCCTTATCTTAAAATGTGTATTGTGTCCTATTGGCATCTTTTTTCCTTTTTGGTTCTTTGGAGTCCGTGATTCTACGGTTTATTTGTGTTGTTCCGTATCAAGTCGTGTTTTGGTTTCGGTTGGGGTGAAAATTTGTTCATGTCCAATTTTCTCGCTTTTTTCTTTGAGTTCTTTGTTTGTTTCTAGCATTTTTTTGTTTTTTGTTCGGATCGATCCTTGCATTAGAGCATATGTATGATCAATATTCAATATAATTGAATTGATTTTCTTTTTGTATGATTTACACATATGTATGATCATTATAATTGAACGGATCCTTGCATTAGAGCATAGAGCATTCCGTCATTCATGTTTTTCAATTTTCATAGCAGCAGTTTGCGCTTGTTTGAAGAAATGGTGATATCCTCACCGTTAAATGTTAATAAAAGTAGATGTTTGCAACAACAAAATTAGAATCTAAAAGCAACAAACCAATAATCTGTGTCATAACGAGTGAGATCCACTAATCCACACATCAATAGGGCGGTGATGAAACATATAGAGGGCGAGAAAATGGGAAGCTTGGAAACAATCAATAAGGCGAGTAAATGGATGCATGGAAATATGTAATCAATTGAAAGGAAAGAGCACATGAGGATGTGAATGGTAGCCGTTAGAGAGGGAGTTGAGTTAGTTAGCTAACGTGGCAAGAGTTGGTTATGGCTATTAGATTGAGAGGGAAAGTTAGCTAGAAACAAACACTATATAAATCATGAGTAATTCATTATAAAAGAGCTATTCGCCATTACGGATCAATATTGAATTTACTCTTCTTTCGATTTCTATGTTTATTACTTTATTTTTTGTTCTTCTTGGTTCTTGATTTGCATATCTAATTCTAAAATTGATAGTTGTTAAAATCTTTAAGCGTTGTTAATCTCCATTTAGTCTTAAAAGAATCCTTAGAACTCGTAATTCATTATTTCATTTAGAATTTGGTATCACATAAGTAAAGCCGAGCTAAATTCTTATCCACAAAGAACTCGTCCATTGTTGTTAAGCAATCTTTCTTCATTTATCTTTTCATTTTCTCTCTTTTAATCACATACATATAATTATATAAGTAGAGTGGTCTCGTGAATTTTCAATTTTGTGCTCAAGCTTTTCTTGCTTTAGGCTTTGGCATATGGTTTAGTTGCTATGGTTGGATGCTTGTATTCCTTTTAATTTATTCTTTTTTTTTTTTAACCTAGTGTTGATTATTTGCTACCCACCCAATTCTACCCAACTTTGCTATTGTCTAAGTGTCTATCTATCTTCACTTTTCGGTATGGACACACCTTTTATCAACGAGTAGGAAGTAGGTACCTATATTTGATCCGTGGTTATCAACAATAGGCAGTTTCATTCCATATTATGCTACCAACTTCATAACTTGTGTATATTTATTATGTTTTCTTGATTATTTAAGAGTGTGAAGCTTAATACTCTTTTTTCTTTGTTATTTATGTAGATGTTGCAATCTCAATCCGAAGAGATGAATTATGAACATGTGAGTTCAAACAATCCTAATACACAATCAAGTGTAGGTCAAACTCCAAGTAACACTTAAGAAGATGACAAAGGAAAGAAGAGAAAATCAATGAAGCCAAGAACGATGGTGTGGGATCATTTCACAAAGTTTGAAGATGACAATAAGGACATGAAGGCTAAATGTAACCAATATGCTAAGGTATTTGCTTGTAATCCTTCAAAAAGGGACAACCTCACTTAGGTATCATGTTTTGACTTGCAAAAAAAACCCTTTTAGTTGTATTGACTTTACACAAACTCAATTAGACCTTAGAAGGCTTGAAGTCGGAGAAAATAGTCTTAGCATATAGAAGTTTGATCAAATTGTTAGTAGAAAAAATTTAGCTGAAATGATCGTTCTAGATGAACTTCCATTTAAGCATATAGAAGGCATGGGATTCAAATTTTTTTGTTTAATTTACAACCTAGATTCAAACTTCCATCTCGTTTTATGATTTCAAGAGATTGCTATCAACTTTATTTAGATGAGAAAATAAAATTGAAGCAATTTTTGAACCAAAATAGTCAAAGAATTAGCCTTACCACGGACACATGGACATCTATTCAAAGAATCAATTACATGTGTTTAACGACTCATTTTATTGATAATGATTGGAAGTTGCATAAAAAGATCTTGAATTTTTATCCGATTGATAGTCATAAAGGAGTAGATTTAGGTATTGCCATTAAGAAGTGCTTGATTGATTGGAAAATTGAGAAAGTTTTTAGTGTTATGGTTGATAATGCAAGTTCGAATGATGTAGCAATTAGGCACTTAAAAGATATGATTAAGAATTGGGGTTATAACATCTTAGATAGAGAATTCATTCATATGAGGTGTATGACATATACTTTTAATCTACTTATTGTCGATGGGTTAAAACATTTTAATCCTTTGATCGTTTGCATTCGAGTGGTCGTTAGGTTTGTAAGGCAATCTCTAGCTAGGTTGAGAAGATTTAAGGAATGCATTCAAGTTTGTTACAACTAGATGTCGCAATTAGGTAGAATTCAACATATTTGATGTTAGAGTGGGCTCTAAAGTTTGAGAGAACTTTTAAGAGATATGAGCAAATTGATCCTTTATATAGGAGTGAATTTGATATAGATCTTTATGATAATATTGTTGGGCCACCTAATGTGGATGATTGGAAGACTTGTAAGAAGATGGTAGGCATGTTGAAAATTTTTTACAACCTTACTTTGCGCATTTCGGGTTCTTTGTATGTGACTTCAAATATTTTTTTTGAAGAGATTTATGCGCTCAAACATGTTTTGAAAAAATGACAATGAAGTGAGGATTTGGATGATTTTACATTGGCTAATAAAATGAAAGAAAAGTTTGAGAAGTATTGGGGAGATATTTAGAAAATGAATAAATTGATTTATATTACGACAATACTTGATCCTAGGCATAAAATTATATTTATTGAATTTTCAATCAAGGAATTGTATGGTGATTTAGATGCTCAAAATATGTTAAATATTATGAAGGGATCTATAAATGCCATGTATGATTTCTATTGTCGTTCATTATCTCAAGATGAAATTGGCCAAGCTAGTGGGAGTCGGGGAATAGATGTGGATTGTGCAAATGAAGAAATGATTGATGAAGAAGAAAATAGAGTAAAAATGGAGATAATGATGCATTTTGAAAAATACAAGTATGATATTGGAAGTGGAGGAAATAAAACGGAGTTGGACAAATATCTTGATGAAAGTGCTGAAAATAATAGTGCTGATTTTACTATTTTAGAGTGGTGGAAAACCAATTCTCCTTGGTTTCCCATCATTTCACAAATAGCTAGGGATGTATTGGCGGTTTCTGTTTCTATAATCTTCTCGGAATCAAAATTTAGCACCGGAGGAAGAGTTTTTAGTCGCTTTAGGAGTTCTTTAACTCCTAGCTTAGTGGAATCTCTTATATGTGCTCAAGATTGGATTAAAAATTCATCGACGCCAATTATTATTGAAGAAAATTTGTAAGATTTTGAGAAAATGTAAGATGGTAATTTCTATAACTCTTATCATTAATTTGTTATTTCTTTCCTATATATTAATGATAAAGGGTTAATTTTTTTGTCTGCTATTTTTCGAGTTACCAATTACCAATGCCACTACCTCTACTGCAAATGTTTGATGGGTTGATTAATCTATGGTGCTTTGGCTTTTTGAATGATATGTGTAAGTTATTAAGTTTCTAAGTTTGATTTTTTTATTTACGTTGCTTGTGCATGGCTGGATGTCTTACTTTCACTCGGTCAATGCTACGCCTACTCGACATGTAATTAAATTTTCATTACACATATCGGGGTTGTTCAAGTGTCCATTGGATGTCCGAAAGTGTCAAAGGCTCCAGCCTTTAAGCAAGCAAATGGGACCGATCGATCGTTGAAGGAGGCTCGAGGGCTTAAAGTTGTCCAAGGCTCCAAGCAAGACTCTTTATTGTGGGTAATTTTCTTTATGGTTTTTGGATGTGTAGTAATTTTTAATCTGGATTTTGGTATGTAAGTCTGTTTTATTGTTGATGAATCTTTCTTACTTTTTTTTAACCTTCTTTGAGGTGTTGGTAGTCAAAGTCAAGTAAGACTGTTGAATATTGAATGTTGTTTTCCATATTTCCATATTTATTGAATGTTATATGATTTGTATCTGTCCATATTTGGCTATTTGGTGTCCGGTTCTGCCTAGTGCCTTCGGCGCTTCTATCTGTCGCCTTCTAGTTGCTATGTCCGCTTCGCCTAGTGCCTTCGGTTATCGTGTCCGGTCCAGTGAGTCCGGTGCATTCTTTTTATTCTTAAGTTTATTGATTTTAGATGAGCTCGTTTAGTTTCCTTGCAATTTTAGACTTCAATTTGTTGTGTTGTTGGATGATTAGGATTGGTTCTATTATGTCGGATCATGTAGCAAATTTTAGAGAAGATTTCACACGCACATTTGATATCTTTTGTTTCAAGTGCATGTGTTGTTTCAGCATTGCTTGCCATAGCCAGCAATGCACTCGTCGAAAATGTTCAATTATATATGAAAGCTATGAGACCCAATGTCGATGGAAAGTTCCCGATCACAAGCTTCTCGGACTAGGCCACGAAAGTTCGAAAGCTAGAGGACTTGTGGAACTTCACAAAGGATTTTCGGGGTTTCTTTGCTCCACTTTAGCTTTTACCATGGTACTTCTTCTATCTCTCGACTCTCTACATACAAGCTCGTCCACACATCCATGTCCACATTTCAATTCTAAGAGATGTTGCATTTGTTTGTTCATATGGAAAGTCATCATTTACCTTCTTCATTTTAACTTTGCCAATTGGATTGGATATGTCCTCGGATGACATGGATCATTTACCTTCTTTATTTATTGGTTTTTGAACAAATAATGGAGAAACTAAAGAGTAGAAAAGTACGTTGATTTTCTTCAATTTCGCATTTCATTTGTCTAGTACTCTACCGCTCGAATACAAAGCGGATAAAAAGTCATCACCTAATCCCCCTTACTTATCGCCATTGATTTCTTGCCATAACTTAGGGACCAGGACTTTATTTTGTCTATCGTTGTCTACTCGATATACAACAAACATTCTCGACTGCTTTTAAATTTTTATATAGAGATACAAAGTCATTTTTATAGTGTTTCGTCGCTTTTAAATACTCTTAACCAAGGTCGTAGATATCCCGATGAAGGATCCGAAAGTTTTGCCTCTTTTAATGAAGACTTGTTTAAAGAAATTAATTAGTTGCTCACACTCGAATCAATAAAACTATATCACATTTGGTTTTGAACTACACATTCAATCTGCTTCACGGGGAGCATCGGCAGAGGGCTTGCAAACGCATGATATGAAGGGAAAAATGAGGCGGAAAAGAATCGGCTTTGACAACATAGACTAAATTTGTTAAACATAATGCAAGATCTGTAAGATCTCGCGCCTAGAACAATTCGGAAAATCAGCTGAATGCCATTAGACCGAGCATTGAAGTCATCGAGAGACTACCAAGAGCGAGATATCTACTATGATATGAATCAATATCCCATGGCCATTAAAACTCCCGGCATTTTAACGGTTTGCATTAACTCGCCTTTCTTTGCTTTGCAAATGCCAATTTTATAAGAGAAAGGTACATCTATATATCCGGTTGTTTGTATATGACACAAAAAGTCTGAAACAAATTAGTAAGGGTTGATTAAATTATGAGCTAAGCATTGTGGTTGTTTCGGGATATTAAGGTGGGTTACGGAAGAAGATAATGAAATTAAAGAAAGCACGAAGGGAAGGATGCAAGCGGTAGTATTTAACATGTCCAATAAGTGTCTTGGATAAGATTGAAAACAAACCCCGTATTTTGCTTCAATGTTCTTTCGGATAATCGATTGTACTTTTTAATTGTATTTTAATGCGGATGTAATGAACATTGACACGGCGAGAATTCACGCACTAGAAGAGCCGCACAAGAAGTTGCTCTCACATTAAACACAAGTAATAAGACAAATGACCCGCAAACCATTTTAGGATGTACTATTACATTTTTTTTAATAGTAAATTAGTTTATGATATCACAAAAATAAAAATCGTTCATAGGAACAAAAGTTTGGTTATAACCGAATTATTTTGATACCGAACCGAAATAATTCGGTTACAAACCGAGTTAATCGAATTTAATTTGGTTCGGTTTCGGGTTTCATTTTTTCTAATTTGATTAATCGAAAATCGAACCGAATTAAGCTTAATCGAACCGTTTAACCGTTTGCTCATCTTTAATATTTACCACTCACAACACCTAACAAATATTGATAAAAAATAACAACTATGCATTTTCGAAATTAATGTTTTTATTTTTTCTTTTAAAAGAAAATTAGAGCTTTTATCTCTTTGAACCAAGCAAAAAATTTAATTATTTTTTGACATCAATGATAGAAAACACCATTATTATTATTATTATTATTATTATTTCCAAAGATAGTTTCATCTCAAAAATTGAGTGAAAAAGTTGGTATCTTTCAAATAATCACAGCTCAATTAAGAAAACATTAAGAGTTGTCAGGTGAGTGGCAATCCATAAAGGCTTTATTTGCTACATTATGAGCAACCCTATTACAAGCACGAGGAATTAAAGTATACATATATATATATAAGCACATCGACTTTCAAAGTCATCTCATGTAAATTACCTGATTGCTTATTCTTGAGATTGTAGATAAGTTAATGAGCAATTAAAACATAATCAGAGATGAGACGACGACGGATAAAGGCACTTTCATTAAAACTCATGATTTTATCCATTCTCCTGTTAAGTCTAGATGACAAAATCTTAGAGATAATTTTATAAAAAACTATTCAAGAAGCACAATTAATATTATTTTAATTGTAAATTTCTTATTAAAAAAAGGGGGAATCAGTTTGATATGTCGTTAAATTTTATGGGTCGGCTACAATATATCTTTACATATTTAATGGTATTTAATATGTTGTTAAATATAATCATAATCTCCAGTACATTTTTTATAATAGAAACGAATTTTGGAAAAAAAAAAAAACCACTCTCATGAAATTATGCTTTTGGGGTTACTTTTTTAACCTTTAAGAGTTAAATGGGTTTCATTCTTTAAACTTTTGTTTGTTACTTTTTCATATCTTTGTCTTTGTTAATTAGATAATTATTTTTCAACGTTTTGGAGTTACTGGGCATCATTTTTTTTTTTTATATAGTATTTTTAAGTAAATATTCATTTTGTTACCTTAAAAACAAATAAGTATTTTGTAAATGGAGTAAATTATAAATTAGTCACTCTAGTTTTTTTAAAAAATGAATTGATTATTTCCTCTTGCTTCAAAAAATAATTATTTTGTTTTTATATTTTAAAATTTTCTTTTAGAACCTAATTCTTTTCTTTCATTTTTTTTTTCATTTTTTTTTTGGTTTTAACAAAGAATAAAATGAAAAAAATAAGTATAAAATATGAAAAGTTTAATGAGAAAAGATAGTATTTTTTTTTTTTGAAATAAAGTAATAATGATCAATTGACTAAATAATTAGTTTTTTTAAAAAAATTTAATTGATTGGTTTCTTGAAAATAGAAGGACTAATTTATAATTTACTCAGTCAACTGTCACACTCTATAATTATACACATAAATGACTTACAAATCAAATTCCATATTAATTCCGTACATATTTGATGTAACAATTTCTAAATGGTAATTATGAGTCTGCTTTCCATGAAAAAACTCTCCTATAAGAATTTGAGTAAATATTCATTTAGATCTTGTATTTTTAGCAAAATAATTAGTTTGTCCTTATGATTTAAAAAGCTCAATATCACATCCCTATATTTTTATTTTTATTGATGACTTAATCCATTAATTAAGTATTTGAGCTGAGCTGCCACCAATTTAGTTATTTGTCTTTTCAAAATCTCCTTTTGCCTGTACGTATATATTAATTGAAAGAAACCCAGGAATAATTTAATCATTTCCTACAAAAAAAAAAAAAAAAAAAACTAAGGGATCTTTTAAAGTAGAAGGGATTGAGTTATGGTTTATGAAATAAGAGGAATTAAGTTATTATATAATTAAAAACAGAGGGACTAAATTATGATTTAGTCTAAGAATTTTGTTTGCCTCTTAATGCCTGCACTGTGACCGCTGACAGTTACATGCATTCACTCATTTCATCTCTCACACTTTTTCTCTCCTTAGCTCCCCCTAACTGGCTCCTCTTTCAAGCGGCACCACCATTCACTCCTTAATTTTAGTTCTATAATCACAATAAAATTACCTGCTAATTTCTTATTTTACCTAGCTAATTATCTTGTGTACGGGCTATAGTCTTCTAGCAAGTAATTCCTCAAGGTACTCTTTCTTATCTTCTCCCTCTCCTTTTCTTTAATATTTTTGTGTTTATTGATCCTTTTTGTTCTTTATTAACAGGAGATTTTAAACCTAGCCAGATAGCCATGGTGACGATGGGACTAAGGAGGTTAATGATGATCATCAAATCCAAAATAAGGTCTTTGAAGATGAGGAGACCTTATGATAAGATTGAAAAGAGTGAGAGCATGAGAGTTGAAATAAGAAGCAGGAAGGCCAGGAAGCTCATTGATGAGATATTAAGGATTGCTGATTCACCAAACACCGAGACTTATGCTTTTTGATGATTGATCACTACTGTTCTTCAGTTTGTCCTCTCAAATGTTTAGTTGCTAGTAAATATCATCTTTCTTTCTTGAAGCATAAAGTCATTATTCGATGGTTTTTTTGAAGCACAAAGTTCATGGCCGCGGGGTTTGTAACCCAGTAGAAATTTATTAAAGAACATGATATGGTACAGTAGATTCCTCCTGGATGTGGGTACTCCCTAAAAAAAATATGGATTTTTTTCATTGATTCTTCCTGATCGTGGGTGATCTAATTGGAATTGTAGATGTATCGCAATGCGCATGGTTTCAACTTTAAAAACTTGTTTTCTTTCATTTTGGATTAATTTCATTACCTAAATTTTGCTTTAAATTAATGGATAATTATCAGTGACACAACCCTCACATAGGTTTTCTTTTCCATATCGGAACCAAATTTTTTTTTATCAAACGATACATAATCCTTAATTTAGCAAATTGTTCAGTTTAACCAAATTAATTGTTGTTGTTGTTTTGTCGATTTTGTGGCTTAATGTATAATAAGAAAAATCTTTTAAAAAAATTATGAGTCGATGAATCTTGATTTTAATGTGAGATATAATGGCAAAGTCATATATATTTTCTATTTATTTATTTATTTTTAATATTTAGCATTATTCATTTTTTTAATCAACTTTCACATATTAAAACTTTTTTATTTGAAAAATAAAAAAGTATACATAAAAGGATAGAGAATTCATGAGAAGTAATCTCATTATCTAGCTCGAGGTTTTAACCCTGAAGAGATTAATTAAGAATGCTATCTATGAGAAAGTTAAGAATACTTAATTTTGATAAAATGCAGCTGCACTTTAATTAGATCTTCTTTTTTTTTTTTTTCTTTTTTTTTTTTTTTTTTTTTTTCAGAAGAGTCAAAGCTCTGGAGAGTCTAGATAAGTTTACAAAGCCCGAAAGTCATAGCTCCATAAATATTTTCTAACAAAAAAAAACTAAAACAATTTACAGAGAAATTAATTTAAAAATAAAAAACTCCTAGAGCAAAAGAGTGCATTGAAAGCTAACCAACTGGTAGTTCGATTAACTTCTATATAAGTATAAGAAATCTAAATTTGCCAAAGCGACTACAAGAAGTCGCAAATTGTAATGACTATAATAATGTCCATAACTATCGGATTGGGAAGACGAGTAACTAAATAGTCAATTGAAAGCCAATTTCAAGCGACATTTGACTATAACCAGCCACTTAAATCATCTCTAATCCAATGAGAATGCTTCAAAATTTAGCACACGGAACCAAACGAGATACCAATATATATGATAAGAGATTCCCTATATCCGAAGTTAGATTCATCACGAAAAACACCGCTAGCAATAGATGTCTTGATAAAATTTCGAATGATTCCGTTCGTGTTTAATTTAACCTAATCTCTAATAGGTTTTTGCTAGCGAATAAGAATGTCATTTAATTAGCCTTATATTTATCATCTCAATGATATAAAGAGGCACATAATCTGAAAATTGTATCTCAATGTGAAAGAATTCTCATTATATCCCATCCTTCCGTTACAATTAAAGCGTTGAGATGCGACCACCAAATGACCAAATTGCTTAATGATCATACTAGCCGATTATTCACGCCGTGCTACGGGTTGGATAGAATAAAATAATTTCAAAATTTAATAATTTTTTTATTATGTTTTTTTCATAAATTTTCTCCTTAAAATAAAACATGATTTATTCTTTTTTATGCATTGATTCTTAAATTAAAATTTTATAATAATTTAAACTGAAATATTAATCAATAATTCAAAAAAATTAAATAAATTTTTTCGTAAAAATATATCTAAAAAATAAAATTACAATTAATGTATAGACTTGTATAAAAATTAACTAAAATAAATAAATTTTTATTCTTATTTAATGAGTTAATCACAATTTCGGTTACCAAGCTATCAATTTTTTCAAATCAAGTGTGTCCTCTTTAATTTTTATTGTTCGAGTAATCTAAGTTGTATTTTTTTCTAATCAAGTGTTTTCATTAATTTTTTATTAATTTTTTCGTTATTTGCACATGTAGCCCGTTAATGGGACTCATTTTCCACATGACAATGACATGGCATACACATGGCTTTCACGTGTAAATGATCCGGAAATTAAAAAAAAAATATTGCATTACTACCATCTTCTTCGACCAAAGGAAGTTAGCCATCCGAACCTCTCTCTCAAAAATCCTATCACTACCACCATTTTGTCTTGTTAAATCACTATCGGAACCACCTTTACAACCATCGTCTTCCCTATGGTTCCCTATCATTGTCCAATCCCTCACCACTACCATAGATCCCATTGTCATTCTTCTCCAAAACCTAATAGTCAAGCCATCTCCGATCTCCTCCACTCGTCAATAGCCAACCAAACACCTTCTCAAAACTCGATCTCCACTATCCATGATTCCCCACTATCATCCAAAACCTCTCCACTACATAACCCACATTAAAACCTCTCAAGCCGCTATCAACACCACCATTGCCATCATCTCCTTTCATGATGAACCTTCAAAAGCCACCATCAACACCATACATTGTCACCAATGTAGAGGAGGAAGAATGGACAAATGGGCAAAGGGGAAAATGACAAAATGGGTTTGATTTCGAGTGATTTTTTTGGTTGTTGGCTAGTGATGGTGGTCGTGAGAGGAGGGTAGGAGAGAGGCTAGTAGTGAGAGGGAGAAGCTCGAAGTTGTAAGGCGAGAGAGAAGGAGAGACAAGTTGATTTGGTGGAGATGGAAATTGTGATGTGGGTTTTCTTAATGGTGGCTATTTGGTGGTGGAGATGGTGTATTTGTCCGGGTTTTTGGATGAGAGAGTGAGGAAGGAGAAGGAGAAAGTGGTAGCGAGTGAGAGGGAGAAGTTGAAATGCTTTTGTAGGAAGAGAGAAGAAGGGCAACTAGGGTTTCTTTGGTAGGAGGAAAAGATTTTTTTTCTTCTTTTCATTTTCCATGGCATTTACATGTGATAACCACGCATCCGACATGTGGTTATCACGTCATTATCACATGTAAGACAAGTCCGATTAATGGGCCATGTGTTCGGATAACAAAAAAAAAAAAAAAATTGACGAAAAGCTAATAGAGATGTTTGATTAGAAAAAAATTACAATTTAGATTACTCAATCAACAAACATTAAAAAAAACACACTTGATTAGAAAAAAAAATTAACAACTTGGTAAGCCGAAATTGTGATTAACTCCTTACTTAATATTGATAAAAAGATTATTTTTTGAAAGTATATGCATAGATCCCATCGTCATTCTTCTCCAAAACCTAACGACCAAGCCATCTCTCGATCTCCTCCACTGTCAATAGCCGACCAAACACCTTCTTAAAACTCAATCTCCACCATCCATGGTTCCCATTATCATCCAAACCCTCTCCACTACCTAACCCATATTAAAACCTCTCAAGCCGTTATCAACACCACTAATCGCCATCATCTCCTTTCACGATGAACCTCCAAAAGCCACCATCAACACCATCCACTCGTCACTAATGCGAGAGGAGGAAGAATGGACAAAGGGGCAAAAGGGAAAATGACAAAATGGGTTTGATTTTTGACTGATTTTTTTGCATGTTGGCTAGTGATGGTGGTCGAGAGAGGAGGGTAGGAGAGAGGTTGATAATGAAAGGGAGAAGCTGAAGTTGTAAGGCATAGAGAGAAGGGGAGACAAGTTGATTTGGTGGAGACGGTAATTATGATGTGGGTTTTCTTAATGATGACTAGTTGGTGGTAGAGATGGTGTATTTATGTGGGTTGTTTGGATGAGAGAGTGAGGAATGAGATGGAGAAAGTGGTAGCGAGTGAGAGGGAGAAGCTGAAATGCTTTTGTAGGAAGAGAGGAGAAAGGCAACTAGGGTTTGTTTGACGGGAGGAAAAGATTTTTTCTTAGGTTTTTTTTTCTTCTTTTCATTTTCCATGTCATTTACATGTGATAGCCACGTGTCTCACATGTGGTTGTCACGTCATTATCTCGTGAAAAACAAGTCTTGTTAATAGGCCATGTGTTCATATAACAAAAAAAAAAAAAAATTGATGAAAAGCTAATGGAGATACTTGATTAGAAAAGAATTACAATTTGGATTACTCAATGAACAAAAATTAAAAAAGACACTTGATTAGAAAAACAAATTGACAACTTAGTAAACTAAAATTGTGATTAACTCCTATTATTTTTTGAAAGTATATGCATTTGATCTATATATATTTATTTACAAAATAATCAATAATGTTAGTATAAAAAATTATATTTGAATAATTGGGTGGTTCCTTTAAAAAATTATTTTAATTATTTTATTTTAAAGAAATGGTTCTAGAATATTAAAAAAAAAGATATTCATAGCAAATAGTTGGTTTTATGTGTGAAGATATATAATTAACAATTCAATAGTTTTTTTTTATCCATCTTTACCATACTTAGTAGACTTAAACAAATTATTTGAAATACACTTTTAACCTCTTACACACACACACACATATTAAAAATTCTAAAAATTCATGATATATATTATACAAATTTATTTTTTTAACAAAAAAAAATCATGTTTTAAAATTTTATTTTAAAATTCAAATATAGAGAAAAATAAATTATATATGTTAGTAAATAAAATTTTATACAAAAAATATTAATTTGATCAGAATTTCATAAGAAATGATAAAGTTTAAATAATAAGAGTATTATAATATAAAATATATGTTGATTTTAAAATATAAAATGATAGTATATATATTTTATCCTCGTCATGCTAGGTGAAAAATTAAATAATAACATTCGATGTTTCATAATTTTTGCCTAAAAATTTTTAATTTAAAAATATCAAAGAAAATAAAAGAAAAACCAAGGAAAAGGCCAACACATTGGGCTTGAGAAATTTTATAATACACAAAGAGTAACTAGTGACATGTACAATAGTTACTCCATGGACCCACTTTGAGGAGAGAGATAAACACAAAAAAGGAGAGAGAAACAAAAGAGAGAAGATTAAAAAAAATTGAGCGAAAGTGGATATCTTCTTATAACTTTTGATGGGTCCGGATGTAATTCAATGTTTCTATCTCTCTCTTCAAAGTGGGCCGATGGAGTAACTACCGTACATCCCACTAGTTACTCATTGGGTATTATAAAATTTCTCCTTGGGCCTAAACAAGAAAAAAGAATGATTGTTTTGAATTTTTCGGTGACCTCTACAATTTTCGACGAACTCAATTTTTCCAAAATGACCTCGTAAAATCGAGTTTCTCAATTTTTAGCCTCACAAAACCAAATTCAGCTTTTTTTTTTTTTGTCTAAAAACACCTAAAAATCACGTAAATAATGTAAATAAACTTATTTAGAACCTCAAAACCTATTATAATACATAGAAAATACATAAAAATTCAAATAAAAAAATTAAAATATTTTTTAGATCTCGATTTATCTCCTCCTATCATTTCATGACTTATCACCACTACAAATGACATCTAGTTTCAAGACGAATAAAGTGGTGGTAAGCTCGACCGTTAGGATAGCTAGAATGGTCCTCTCCAACCTTTTTTCTCTTCTCCCTTCTCTCTCTTGATTCTCTCTTTTTTTTTTAGCATGCAAAGACCAAAATGAAAGAAAAATGAACTTACATATTGAAAAAAAATGTTTAAAAAAGAGGGATCAAAGTGCATTTTTTTTGACAAACATTGTAAGTACATAATGAATGAATAATGAATAATGATCTTAGATACAATTTTCCAACTCTTTTAGTAACTAAAGAGCTTGTACCTAGTGGTAGTGGTCTCTTGCAACAAAAGATCACGGGTTCAAATACTAACGGATTAGTTATGTTAAGAGCCTTGGGTGTGTAAGTAAAAAAAAAAGAAAAAAACTCTTTTAGTATATTTAGTAATTAGTTTTATTGGCTCATCTTTATTTACTCAAAACACAAAGCTTAATTCTACCCACACAATAAAGCTATAAAATGATAAAGCTTTACTTAAAGAGTACTTTACGATGATCTTTTTCAATGTGAAGTTATTCCAAGGATTGACGAATGAATATACAATAAATGACAAGCCTCAAATATTGTACCAAATATGAATTTTACACTACAAATAGTTTTTATATATATCAGTTTCATTTTTAAACTATTTTGATTTTTCAATTAAAAACTTAAAAACTTATGCTAAAATTAATTAATTGAAAATGATAAATTTCCTACAAATGGCATCATTTCTTTATATATATATATATAAAGCCTTAAAATGAATAAAAATTTTAATTGAAAATATCTAAAAATTTGTAGTTATAATTTAAATAGAAATATAATTGGAGAGTCCTTTTAAACTTGCCCTAATTAAAGTAAACTAGTATAAAGTAGTAGTGAAGAGCTTATTAAAGAAGCGAGAAAGAGCACTCATGGCTTACCTTTTGAATATGAATAACAATAAAGAAAGCAAAACATATGGTAGATCCTACGAGGCTAAGAATATTCAAACTGGACAAAACATGGAAAGTTGGTCATGATGTGGAACTTGTTCGGACTTGAAAATAATTAAAGATTTGAAGGTGGACACACCATACATTTAAGGTCCACATTATTGATTATCTATCTTTAAACGAGTAGTTTATTTTCACTTTCCACTAATTTTAGAAAGAAAAGAATGTCCACATAAAATGGTATTTGGTACTACAAAAGGGTTTGTAAAAAAACTTAGTTGCTTTTAGAAAATCTCATGGTGTTGTTATGTTGACACAAGTGGTTAGAATATTCTTCATGTTATATATAATTTGACAAGTGAACAAAATTTTTTTTGAAGATTATGATAAATACTTCAATATAAAAATAATTAGGATCGAAACACTTATCCGTAAATAGTTTCACTAGATCAAGATAGTAATATTAAATCACTATCTTTATTTTCACAATCCAAGTGTCAAAACAATTCTACTTGCTTTAGTATTACGCTCGCGAGAGAGTCTTTTATTCCGTCTCGTTTTCTCTCTTTTTTTCCTCTCTTATCTATCTATTTCTAGAGACGCATATATATGTATATATATATATATCCTTATCGGTTCAATCGGTCATGGGTGACCCAACCCAAATTCTTTTATTTTTCTAACATCTCCCACTCGTAGATGACGGGGTAGACTCGACACAAGGGTCTCTACAATATCGATAGTAAAACAAGAAGGTATATTTTCATACAAGCAAATGGATTATGCGACCTAGCGAGCATTCCCGCATTTTAGAAGCTTATTACTATACATTAGTTAGTAATAACATAATAGCTACTACCTTAGATTAATGAACGATATACGAGATATAATAT